GCTTTTGCTGGTCAACTTTTGGGAGCTCCTGCGGCCGAATATAGGGTGCTTCGCCTGGCTCTCAGGTAGCATTTGTGCCCCTTAGTCGAAGGCATTTTCCTTCCAAAAGGCGCCTTGCTGGCGGGTTGCAAAGTCGTTCAAAACCCCTGACCAAGTTGTCCAGGAACTGCACGGTTATCTCATGCCGAGTTTAGTTCCACAACATTCTCGGTTAAGTACCGCTGGGGTGACTGGGGAACCACAAAGTCCTCATGCCAAAATTAGTTCCATAGTGGTCGCGTCTGCTGACAGGGAGCAGGCGTTTGGTTCAATTCCAGAGAAGGGCAAGTGCCTAACCAGAGACACCAGGGGAAAGCTGCTAATTTCGGCTGGGGAGGTTAACTCCCAAATGGGGGCTCATACCTGGACCATAGTCTATGGGCAGGAGGCCAGCTTCCACACTCCTCCAGGAGTTTTGGGAAAATGTCCATGGTAAAGAACCTTGTCACACATACAATGGAGCCATTAAGAAATGTAGGATTTTTTTAATTTATTTTTTTGCTTTGTGTGGCTCCCCTTTATTTTTGCTTCTGTAAAGTGTTGATAACGTTTGTTTTTTTTTTTTTTTGTTTTTTTTACACTAAGTTGATGGAGTTATTCTACATAACCTGCTTTTATTTTACTGTATGTATATACGGAATTGACTCTCTTTCCGGTTGTCTCCATAAGGATTCCGGAAAAGTATCTGACTTTGATTTGTGTGTGCTTGTCTAGCACGGTCTCATATTATATGTATGTATGTATGAGGTGTTTTTCTTATTTTTCACTTTGTGTGAGGGTTGTGGTCAAAATTATCAAATCATTTGAAAAGCTTATCGAAAAGTATTAAATTGAGGCCTATATTGGAAAGGGCACTATGGAGACCGTATTTAGAATTCTTTAGAGAACAAGTTTTTGTATTGGGTTGTTTTTTTTTTCCCCATTGTCCTCTGTAACGGATCACCTGGCACCCCGACTGGGTACCTCCGTTTAAAGGATGCTCCTAGCGCTTCCTGAGGACTCCAAGCACTGCAGCAGACACCACAACCACCAAACCGGAGAAGCATATGAATCCTCTCAAGCATATGAATGCTGTAGACAGTTGAATAGGAACCATATGAATAGGTTTACTCTCCTAGCAGTCAAACTGGAACAGCATACAATAAATCCTTCCCCCAATAATGAGACGACACTTCACTTTGAGGGTTAAAACAGGAACTCCTGTACAGTCACATACAGTCTCTTTTATTCCCAATCCACAAACATAGTACAGCCCACAGGGCATTACAAAACAACCAATCAATCCATACAATACACCCAGACACTCCCACACAAAATCCTCCCCTCTGGCTGTGATATGATTACTGAACACAATGGGTAATCTAATTATCACAGCCAGAGAAATACAGTTTCATAAAACACATCACAGGGACCCCAAAACATGCAATAACCCCATAAGTATATCCTTGGAACTGGGGGATCTGGGTGAACCACATATCCAAAATTCACCCAGATCCGTTCAGTACTTTGGAAAATACTGTTTAATGCAGATTCTGCAGAACATATACAGGCTAAATAAAAAACAATCACTGTATA